GAACTACTTTTAAGACTGGTGAATAAACAAATAATATTGGACTTGAAATTGAACTTAATTGGGACTCGGAACGGAAAGGTCTAAACAGGAAGTCAGCCTTCCGTTCTTTTGTTATGTGAAGAAAGCAAAGACAAAATATACTAAAGCTTGAAAATTAAATTCTGAGAGAACTAGAATTCAACATCTAAGATTTCTGAACCCCCCCTTTGACTGCAGGAGAAGAAGGGGGTTGTATTTGGACTTTTCAATCCTGCGGAAGTGAGTTTAAAATAAAGCAATTTTCCACCCCCCTGAGCCAGGAGCGGGCTGTCAGAATTGACGTTTTGAAGTTTATCCAGCTCGACAGTTAGTTAAAAGAAGGGTAACATTTTGATTCTACTGTTGCCTCTTGAATTTGGAAGGGGGAATTTTGGATAAAGTGTTTCTGGAAAAAGAAAGATTGTTGCTGTTGCTTTTATTCCTTTAAAAAAAAAAAATTTCCATCTAGTGGAATTTAGTGAAATTGCAACGCAGAGAGTTTAAAAGAGAAGGACTATTGGACTATTGTCGTGGGAAAGAATTTTCTTTGACCTTGAAGGACAATGCTAGTACAAAGGCTTGAACAATTGTTCCTGGAAGGTTTTTCAAAACTAAGTGCCCAGCTGGACCAGATGCGTCAGGAGACGACCTTGATGATGGAAGTTACCAGAGCACAGCAGCAAACAAATGAAATTCAGTTAAAGGCTATACAAGCATATGAACCTGCTGTAGTGACGGAGGCTTCAGAGATGGAGGGACCTTTGGACGGGCAAGATCAGCCTTTGAACTTGACAAATGAACTTGGGACAAACCAGACTCGGAAAGATGAAATGTGGTCAGACTTGGAAATGGGGGGATGGATCGACCCCCCTCTATATGGTTATTTGGACCTTCCGAGTCTAGTGATAGGCTATCAGAGGATTGGAGTAGCCGAAGTCTCCAAGCTTTGTGGAAATTTGAAGTGGTATTATCTGCTGTCTGGCTTGGGCAATGGGTTTGGGATGGACTTGCTGCAAAGAGTCAAAAGCATTTTCTTGCTGGAGTATCCACGACTGGAAGGGAATCATCAACAAGAGTGGCGAAAGGGGCAAGAAAGAGGCTTGAGGGCCTCGGATACGAGACAACCAGGTTAAGGAGCCGGATTATTGAGGTTAAAAGGACTGACAATCCCGGGTCCAGGGGAGGGGAGGTTGGAAGCTGATTGGACTGAATTTGACTTATTATTTTTTCCTTTTTATTTTTTAATATTGGGAATGTTTATAAATGTTTGAAGGATGTTGAATGAAATTACATGGCTTAAGTAAGGATTGGTAAATGATTCGTAAAAAGGTAATGATGTAAGAATTTGGTAAATATCGAATATAAGCTATGAGTTTTAAAGTTTTTATATGACAAGAGGGAAAATAGAATAAGGAAACGTAATGACAGATTGTTATGAAAAAACAGAAAGGATTTGCTGTAAAAATTAAAAATTAAGAAACAAGAGAGGGGAGGAGGAGGAAGTCTAGAAAGGAAGTAAATAGAGATTGTAAAGGACTTTATATTTTTGTTTTTCTGTTTTTCTTTTTTTTCTTTGCGGCTGGGTTTTCTTTTCTTTTTTGTTTATGTACTATTTTTGTTTTTTGTATTTTCAAAATTTTTTGGAAATTTTTGTTGTTATTCTTTGAAAACTTAATAAATATCAATTATAAAAAAGAAAAGAAAAGGAAGTCCATGGAGATATTGGAGTGCTCTATCCCCACGAGCTCTGCACATGTGACAACGGCACTCTTCTTCCTCAAAGCATGGTTGCATGAAGTTTCTCAGGCGACTGGTGACATTATAGCCACTGGGAGGTTTTCATGATTTTTCCCCATGTGAGACTTGTTTAAGATGAAAGCTCCTGACCTGGGGGTAGTTGTGAGGTTCCACAACGCAGCTTTTCGCCGAATTTGTTGTTTCTAGATACAGCATGTAGAAAGAAAGTATATAACAAGACTATACCCAGTTGAGGAATGTTAAGAAGAACGACATCAACGCCCCCCCCCCCGATTACTGAAAATTTTTGGCTTTAATTTATCATTGATTTATCATTGTGGATATATAAGGTCAGAGGGCCACACCAATAAACCAATCTACAGTGGTACCTTGGGTTACATAAACTTCAGGTTACATACGCTTCAGGTTACAGACTCTGCTAAACCAGAAATAGTACCTCGGGTTAAGAACTTTACCTCAGGAGGAGAACAGAAATCGCATGGCGGCAGTGGGAGGCCCCATTAGCTAAAGTGGTACCTCAGGTTAAGAACAGTTTCAGGTTAAGTATGGACCTCCGGAACGAATTAAGTTCTTAACCCGAGGTACCACTGTATCTGGGCAGCAGATATGAGAGGTGGTTTCAGGTGGCAGGCCAGCAGGGCAGAACAAGGATCCTATTGACACCCTCCTTGTATGATGAGCGGATAAAGGCCGTTTTAGTAATGGTGAAACAACTGTTCCCTCACTGGTAATGTATAGATGCTAGTGGAGGACATACTTGTTATTCACGTAGGCCATTTGGTGAATGGCCTTGGAATTCCATTGCTTTGGAATAACATTCCTTTGGAATTCCTGCTGCTGGATTGGTTTGCTTCATAGATATTCTTCTTCTGCCAATATACGGATATACTGTAGAGCAGAGTTTCTCAAACTTGGGCCTCCAGCTGTTTTTGGACTACAACGCTCATCATCCCTAGCGAGCAGGGTCGTTGGTCAGGGATGATGGGAACTGTAGTCCAAAACAGCTGGAGAGAGACCCAAGTTTGGGAAACTCTACTGTAGAGCAAGGATGGGGAACCTGTAGTACTTCAGAGATGGTTTGGCTCCAGTTCCATCAGCACCAACCAGCATGGCCAATGGTCAGGGGTGTAGATTTCATAAAATGAAATGTCCTGGGGTGTTTTGAGGGGGTATACTAGCAGTCCTCTTGTGATAACTGCTTGTATTAAATATAGATCACATGTAACTGTCTAGGTCTATCTATCTATCATCTATCTATCATCTATCTATATCATCTATCTATATCATCTATCTATCATTTATCTATCATCTATCTATCATCTATCTATCTCTCATCTATCTATCTATCTATCTATCATCTATCTATCTATCTATCTATCTATCATCTATCTATCATCTCTCTCTCTCTCTCTATCATCTATCTATCTATCTATCTATCTATCTATCTATCTATCTATATCTATCATCTATCTAATCATCTATCATCATCATACCTCCCATGGCAACTTCTATTTTTCTTATGGAGAACAGCTCTATTTCATTCTCCTATCCCTATTTAAAGGATCTATTACCAGAATTTCTTGAATTCTGCCAATATATTTGAAGACAAGGGTCAAAGCCTAGCTTGACCTCATTTGGTGACATCATACTTACTACGAGTAGTTATTACACAAATATATCAGTTCCTCCATCCCTTGGTTTGTGCAGTGTCCCAACATCAACCTGCCTTTGGCTGGAGATTAGAGGTGGATGATGAGTGACGTGCCAACCCTTTCAGGGTCAATCAAAGGCATTCCTGACTGAAATATGCTTTCAGACAGTACTGGCACAAGGCCTCAGACCTATTTCACTGGTATGCTGGTGTCTGTCTGTGAAAAATTTATTTCATGCGAATGGAACAATTAGCCAACCACATCTCATCAGCTGCACTGAGTGATCACACCAGAAAACAGACAGCCACATCCATAAAATTGCCAAGGAATACAGACAGAATAACATTTCTGTATCATTTTTTTTTTGAAAGAGCTATTTTTGCTTCCTGATTTTCAAAGGCAACAAAGCAGAGAAAGAGAAAGGAGGAAGAAAAGTGAGTCCAGAATTATATTTGTATTAATATGGCTTCCTATCCTTCCCGACTCCCTGCTTGCATAGTGAGAAACTTGCAAGCTTTGCCAACAGCACTAAAACAGCCAGCCCACCTTCAGAATTTCAGTCACCTCTTAAACACTTAGAAGCTGAATTGAGTGAAAACCCCCTTTTCAGAAGAGTTTCCAAGGAAATAGAAAGTTTCCACACCCTAAATCCTATCCTGAGAGAAATGGAAACTAGGTTGCAGTTGCCAAAAAGTCTGAATTGTTGTATCACCAGTTTTGAACACTATATTTTGCAATAAAAAAATGTGGGCATGTTTTGGTGCTTTGTTAAAACACATGTATGCACTTTCTGAAGTGTGCTAGGATTTTCTCTCCCTCCCTTTCTTTTCTACAAGACCATTTCCAGGTGTTGGAGGTCAGACCCCATGATGACCCTGGTGACCTTGTGTTGAAAACTAGAAAGGAAAATGAAATATGGCTAGCCTCTAAATTAAAGTCATGAAACCTTGAAGGGTACAGCTGCTTAAAAAGAGTGGTATTGGATTCAGTGATGTGTATCGGTTGGGGGACTGAGTTTATGTTGGAGAGGCTATGACTGAACTAGAGCCTGATTAGTTGCAGACTGTAATTTACTGATAGTTGGGTATACAGTGTTACCTTGGTTTAAGAACAGTCCAGTTTAAGAACGATTCTGTTTACAAAGTCCGCAAAACCGGAAATAGTGTCCTGGTTTGAGAACTTTCCCTTGGTCTAAGAATGGAATCCAAACGGTGGAAGGGCACTGGCGGTGGGAGGCCTCATTAGGGAAAGTGCACCTTGGTCTAAGAACAGTTTTGGCTTAAGAACAGACTTCCGGAACGGATTAAGTACGTAAACTGACGTACCACTGCATTGTGCTCCCAGTGTATCTGATGGTGCACTCTCTCAAGGCCAAGGACTATGCTGTAAAGAAGAGATAGCAAGATATTGCTGGAATACAACTCCCACCATCCTTGACCATTGACCATGATGACAGTGGTCAATTGGGACTGTATTCCAATAACATTGGTTGTCGCTGTTCTAAAATCACAAAATGCTGTTAAATCCTGTTAAAGCTGAGCAGGTCTGGGTCTGGTCATGGCCTAGATGTGAACCCTGTCTTATATAGCTCAGCTGGTAGAGCATGAGGCTCTTAATCTCAAGATCATGGGTTCAAGCCCCATATGGGGTGAATTTTTTGTTGGACTAGATGATCGCTGTGGTCCCTTCAAACCATTCTGTGATTCTATGATTCTAATTTCAATGACGGAAGAAAATAAAATAAAGTAAGATATACCTTGCTGACCCATATGGTCTGTGAGAGTGGCTGTCTTCTGAGTCCTACCTATTTTCCAAGTCAGACATGTGGGAAGCCTTTTGTTTTGGTTCCATACCTATGGAATACTTTCTTCAGGAGACCTTCCAGGCTCCCACCCTTCTTAGATTTAGCTGACAGGTTTCTGCTTGTTCTTGCTTTTGGAACATTAACTTCAGCTGCTAGATGGTTTGCATTGTTAATTCACAAGCTTATTGTGATTTTACGTAAAGGTTTTGATTTGTTTTAATTATCACTTTTTTTGAATTGCACAACTGAGTAGAAGTTTTTTTTTTAAGTGTTACAGAGAATTAATAAACCGAGAAAATCTAGATTGCCTCTAAAAATAAAGAAAGCTAAACTCATCGCAGTTCACTTGCACCTTGCAAATTCCAGAGCTCATGCCGCACTAGCAAAGATGGACCATTAAGATTCCCTTCTGCACAATGTGTTCCACACTTGGCAGAACAGGTTGTAACAAGATGACTACCTGACTAATGAAGCCTGAATCATAATGGTGCACTTCAAAGAAGGAGTCTCCCAAGTAGCTGTTGCTGTGGAGTTTGTGGAACCTGAATGCATCCCCTCATTTTGAATCTCAGCATAATCCACATGGCTCCTACATACAGAGCACAGGAAGAGGCACAGGAAATGTGATTTAAACCCTTGCTTGCTAGGCACTCTCTGGTTATGGTGCCTTCAAAATGGCATAGGAACTTACGATCTGCCTACAATAGAGTCCTTTTTGGATATGTCTGTTACTATTCTTGCTAGTGGTGGGCTGACTTGTCCAATCTAGTAGTGGTCCTCCAATCCTACCATGACAGCCTTAGCAACCATTTGGTTTAGAATTCAATTTAAGTGGCACCTGCTGTGTGTGGTTAGGAGGAATCATCTTAGATTGTCCTACTAAAACCAATGGTAAAGTTTGTCCTATAATTTTTTCATGTTTCCACTCCAGCCCATATTTATATTTTTCCATGGTGGGATCTTTTGGCCATAGAGCTTTGTATGCAAAGACCAAATTTGGCCAGAGTTCAACAGAGAGATAGACATACTTAAGCAGAATGATTTTCCTGATGTGAGCCCAACTCTGTGTTAGACTTGGGCACAAAAGCCTGCAGTGAATGGATAAGCTTTGCAATGAATTATATACTTATAAATGGATTAGGTTTCATTTGCTTCTTTTTCCACTTCTACTGATGAACCCACCAAAAACGCCCATTCTTTTTTCAACAACATTTCCTTACTGATAAACTTTACAAAATAAAATGCCACCAGATGGAGGGTTTAAGGAAACCTTGTCTCCATTTTTAACCAAATCTTGGACATTTTCCACCATGTTTTTATGCTTTAATTATACCCAGAGCTTTTTTAAAAAAACTGTTCCCAGAGAGTTGGGGGACATTTGGGAACAACAAGAAACTTGGCGTAGGCATGGGGGTGGGGGCTGCAAGAGGAAAGAGGAATCAGTAGAAACTACCTCCTTTCTCTTTGTGCTCCTGGAAGTCTTTACTGGATCAAAGAGCATGCAGTCAGTAGAGTGACCCAGTTGGATAAAACCCTCAGCCTTAATTAGCCAAATAACCTTCACATCCAGGTACAACTGTGTTATCTAGGGCATGTTTACACATCAATATCCATCACTCAGTTGCTACAAGTAATGACTTGAAAGTGTGAATCACCTGCCTTGGTCCAAGCACCCGCTTTCCTGTTACCTGTTGTCACATCAAATCTAACGCTTCTTCACGGAGGTAGTTCACATGCTGATCTGTGAGTCATCAAATAAAATATCAACCGATGAAGTATGAAGTGATGTACGTACATAGGAAGCTGCCTGATAGTGAGTCAGGCCATTGGTCCATCTGACTCAATGCTGTCCGCATCAGGGAGATGCTCTCCAGGATTTCTGCTTGCAAACCAGCTCTGCATGCAAAGCTCTTCCCCTGAGGTGAGAATATGAGAACTCTGCTTGATCAGACTGAAAGCCCATCTAATTCAGCAACCTACATCCCTCAACGGTGTACCAGATGCCTCTGGGAAGCTCACAAACAGAGCTTTGGCACCATAGTCCTCTCCCACTGGCCTTCCCAAATTACTGGTATTCAAAGCTATGCTCCCTCTGAGGCTGCCACTAGCCATCATGACTGGTAGCCTTATCTTCTAAATCGGTGGTCAGCTCCATATCTTCTTCTATGGTACGGATTGTACCGATTTTGTACAGATTCTAAGATAAAGATTGCAATAGAGATGGAAGGCGTTATTTCCGTGACCTCCAGGAACTGCATTTTTAATGAAACCACTCAGCAAAACATGGTCCAGATTGCTCATTGTACCTTGTGTGGACAAAGATGTCATGTTGGTGATGTGGGATGCTTTTGTTGTTTTACTCTTTGAATATGCTTTTATGGTGTAGTGGTTAAGAGCAATAGACTCGTAATCTGGGGAACTGGGTTTGCGTCTCCGCTCCTCCACATGCAGCTGCTGGGTGACCTTGGGCCAGTCACACTTATCTGAAGTCTCTCAGCCCCACTCACCTCACAGAGTGTTTGTTGTGGGGGAGGAAGGGAAAGGAGAATGTTAGCCGCTTTGAGACTCCTTCAGGTAGTGATAAAGCGGGATATCAAATCCAAACTCCTCCTCCTCCTCCTCTTCTTCTTCTTAAAATAAAATGCTTTGAAAACTTGATTACCAGCATTGCAATGAAAGTGCATTGGGAAATTAATGTAGTTATCTCCTCTTGTCATTAATCTTATTTTATGATCCTTTGACATTGATTGCAGAAAGGTTTCAAGGGGGTTGGCAAATAGAAATCAGCAAGGCTGCAATTTGTGCTGGCCGTCAGCGTGAGCTAAAATGAAACTGACAAGTGAATCCCTGACCTAACCCTGCGCATGTTGTGCTAATGCGCTCCATCGCACCAAGAGCCCAGATGTGATTTCTTCACTTTATTCAAATTAACCAGGCCTTAATTGAAAACGTAACACTTCTTTTTTTAGAAGCATGTATAAAGCCTTTGTTGTGTTATTATATCAACCCCCCCCAACTGCTGTTATTCTCTGAGCATCTGCATTGGGAATATGACTCTCTCTTTTCCATTCTGTCATATCACAGGCATTTCAGGCAGGACCCCAAACAGTATTACATAAATGCAATATGTACAATGATAACATGTCGTGCAATCAGCCCATACCTTTCTCTTGGCTTTGGCAGGCTTTCCGTTACATCCTTTGAATAGTAGGGCTGGAAAGAGACCAACCATCTTCTCTTCAAGCAGCCTCTTGTGCCATTCTTCTTTATGACCGAGCATTTTAAAAATAAAGAAATCTCATTTCCTTTCAGACTTTGAGTTCGGTGTTGTCGCCCTCAATAGGCTGGAGAATTAGGTCAGATGGGGATGTCTAAATGAAACTGCAGGTTCAGGCGCTACACAAGGACTTTGCTGAGGTAGGATGTGTTACAAAGGGGAGGTTGTTTCAACTAGGTGCAGAATCAGGTTGGCTAGCAAAACAAAGTGCTCTCAGACCTTTCATAAGATAGCATAGGAGCCAACACGTAGGGGCCATGGGGGATTCGGCCCCCACAATAAAATATTTGAGGAGGCAGGGCCCCCTCAAAGTTGATGGGCATTCAAATGGTGTGTGCGCACTGCATCATGTGATCAGTTATGAGGGGTGAGGCTTACCTGGGCCCCCACAATACAGTGGTACCTCGGGTTACAGATGCTTCAGGTTACAGACGCTTCAGGTTACAGACTCTGCTAATCCAGAAATAGTACCTCGGGTTAAGAACTTTGCTTCATGATGAGAACAGAAATCATGCGGCGGCAGCGGGAGGCCCCATTAGCTAAAGTGGTACCTCAGGTTAAGAACAGTTTCAGGTTAAGAACGGACCTCCGGAACAAATTAAGTTCTTAACCCGAGGTACCACTGTATTTTATTCAAGTTGGCACACCTGTATGATAGTAGTGATTTGCTGACTGATTAAGGTTAGTTCCTGTTTTCCTTGCAATATGTTTGTGTATAAGTGTGTTGGGGGGACACATAAAAGAGAGGCCTCTTTGTTTCTTTAGTAGCCATAGTGAAGAGAAGCTACTATTAGAAGCAACAATGAAGGAACAGAACTAGAAAGAAGGGTCATAGCTCAGTGGCAGAGGATCTGCTTTGCACGCAGGAAAGATGCATCCCGGTTGCTAGGAAAAGAAGAAGGGCAAACTATGGAGATTTCAAGGACTACTAGAAAATAAGACACAGGCAGGAAGAGTGCACTAAAGGGAAAGTCCTTTAGGATCTTAGGGATTGCTATTGCTGGGTATGCAAACAACTCACTTACCAGTCACAGATCTAACGTCACATATTCACACTGATAAGGGAGAGCTGCGGTTCTAGCTAGGTAAAGGTAAAGAGACCCCTGACCATTAGGTCCTGTTGCGGACGACCCTGGGGTTGCGGCGCTCATCTCGCTTTATTGGCTGAGGGAGCCGGCGTACAGCTTCTGGGTCATGTGGCCAGCATGACTAAGCCACTTCTGGCAAACCAGAGCAGCACATGGAAATGCCGTTTACCTTCCCGCCGGAGCGGTACCTATTTATCTACTTGCACTTTGATGTGCTTTCGAACTGCTAGGTTGGCAGGAGCAGGGACCAAGCAATGGGAGCTCACCCCGTCGCGGGGTTTTGAACCGCGACCTTCTGATCGGCAAGTCCTGTGGTTTAACCCACAGCGCCACCCGCGTGCCTAGCTAATCTCACATAAATTGAAGGGTGCCTGCACAATTTGCTGCATAACTTTCTTTCTTGGAGGACCAGGGTCTTACTTATAAATAAATAAATAAATAAATAAATAATAAATCAGAGTCTGTGACTCCTGCCAGGGATTTCAATGAAGCATCCAGAAAGAGCTGCTGTCGAGCCACCTTATTGTATGATTGACAAATAGAATTTGTTTGCTGGATTGGCTCATCTGGTAAGTGACAAGGGTGACCGTGGAAATCCAGCATTATATACATTGACAAGTCAATCCCCTCCAGACCCTACACAATAGTTTATGAGCTTCGAGGGATTAGAAGTGCGGGGGGGGGGGGAGTTAATTTTACCCTGCTTAACTGGTACGATGATTCTCATTGCTATTTATTGACTCCTTTTATTATGTCCCAAATTGTGCAAGGAAATTGCCACGGTCAGAATTGTTGAATTGTGAAAGTTTCCTGAGACGGAACAATATTTTGAAGCCAGACATTCTCTCTTGGAGACAACTGCCACTCTCTCTCTTTGCCAGAATATTGAGGTTAATTGGGGAAGTCTAAGGTCCCAGATTACTACCAAATATAAAGAGGTCGGCATCCTGGTTTTAATGTTTTCATTTCAGGCCCTTGTAAAAATACCATTGAAAGTCTGAGCTATTACTAATCACATTAAAGTCGTGGGCATATTTTATTAGTTGGCAGCCAGGTCATCCTGTACATTGTAACTGAAACTGTAACAGAACCCCCCTTTCCATTTTATGTTGCTGGCTGACTTGAGTATTATGGCTACAAATGGCAAGAGAAGGGAAATTGGTGGTGGTGGCAGCAGGGCATGGAGGCTGAAATTTATTCTGGCAGCCTAATTTCTATTCATTACCTATCAGATAAATGTGGATGTGGTTCACATGAGGGCCAGTCAGAGTTAAAAACAAGAAAAAGACATCAGCTGGAAGCATTAGGATGAAGCATCTAATGTAAAGCAGTTAATAGCATTGCATTCATGGCATGTTTAGACATTGATGGCCATTCAAAGGAATAATTTAGTAAAAACTGTGGTTCTACCCAAGCCATATACCAAGAGTCTTTGGTTTCAGAACATGGTAGAAGACATAGGGTCAGAGAAGTGTAGCCGTGAAACTACAAGACAGGTGATGGGATCCAGAGTTGGTGGATAGGAAAGGCCACTGTCTAAGACAGGCATAGGCAAACTCCAGCCCTCCAGATGTTTGGGACTACAATTCCCACCATCCCTGACCACTGGTCCTGTTAGCTAGGGATACTGGGAATTGTAGTCCCAAACATCTGGAGGGTCGGAGTTTGCCTATGCCTGGTCTAAGAGTTTGCACCTTAAAAACAAAAGTGAAGGGCAACAGCACCCTTCCCGTGAAAATCAAAAATAGATGGTATCTCACTCCAAGAAATTCTTAATTAAGAGGACAGGAGATATTGCACCTGGAACTGTTCAGTGGGGTGAGGGGAGAGGAAATGAGCTTTTTCATTCTATTGGCAATTGATGAGCAAGGTAGAGAACTGTAATTGATGGAAGGGATCCCATGCTCTTACTCAGAGTTAGCCAGTTCAATTGGACTCGAACTTCCCTCAGCCCAGCCACCATGTCTATGAGTCAGGGATGATGGGAATTGTAGTTCAACAACATATGGAGGGCACCATGTTGACCAGCCTTCTCTCACACAAGTAGTTGTAAGGGGGAGGCAGAGGTAGCTGGATTGGTAGCACCACACAAATGCTGACTGGTCACAATGGGCCATATGTTGGAGACTGCCCTGCCATGCTTAGTTGTTCCCTAAGCCCTGGTTGAGCCCTCCTTCCCAAGATGACAGCCTCAGATACAAGCAAAGCCGAAGGCACGGTAAGAAGCAAATGATCTAGAATAGTGGTGGGGACCCTTTCCTAGCCTGATGGTGACGTTGTGTTGTTTTGGGGGGAACCTTCTGGTGCATCCATATGTCAATGGTAGGTGGAGACCAAAGGCAAAAGTAAGTGGAACAATGGATGTGGCAAGTGACACTCCAGTAACGCAACAAGCAGAGTTGTCTGTGCATACAGAGAAACCATCCTCCAGCCAGGCAAGCAAATCACAATTCAAGGACAACCATTCCAGCAAAAGCACTTGAGAAGGATTGGTGTGAAAGGGGAAAAGAATAAAGAGAGTCCTGAGGGCTGGGCAGGGAGGTGGAGCAGCACACTTGGCTCCTGGGACAGGCTTCCCACTCTTGTGCTGGGTTATGAGTTTCTTTAAGTAGCCAGGGTCCACCTTGAATGCCCCTTCCCAGTGTCTATACAGGGGCCTGAGAGCACCAAGGTGGGTAGTATGGCTGAAAGCAGCTTGTTTGCAGCTCGCTAGAAGAAGTGGAGAGTCATAGAATTGTAGAGTTGGAAGGAACCTTGAGGGTCATCTAGTGCAACACAGGAATCTAAACTAAAGCATCCATGACAGATGGACATTCCAACCTCATCCTAGTCTCTTCCCCCACCTCCTTCTACAAGGGGCAACACTGAAACTGAGGAGGAAACTGGCAGGCAGGGCCACCCCCTGCTCTGGTTGTAAATAAGAAGTTTGGCTGAGGGCAGACCAAAGGCAGTAGGTCAGTGCCCCATTTTGCTCTAATGGAACAGCCTCCACTGTATTTTCCTATCAACTGGGTTTCAGTTTGGAACTGCTGATTTTGTTCTACAGTTTTACAGGCCAGAGAGGTAACCATTGAAGAACTAAGGGGAGAAAACAGACATAGCCAAATCAGGTCAACAATCTCATAGCTGTCAAGGTCACTAACACCTCAAAGCTCAAAAAGGATAATGTACAGTGGTACCTCGGGTTACAGACACTTCAGGCTACAGATGCTTCAGGTTACAGACTCCGCTAACCTGGAAGTAGTACCTCGGGTTAAGAACTTTGCTTCAGGATGAGAACAGAAATCGTGCACTGGTGGTGCAGCGGCAGTGGGAGGCCCCATTAGCTAAAGTGGTTCTTAACCTCAAGTTAAGAACAGTTTCAGGTTAAGAACGGACCTCCAGAACGAATTAAGCTCTTAACCCGAGGTACCACTGTATATAAATATTTGTTCTCTGGCTCCAAGTGGCTAAAAGTAATGCAGATACCCATGCAAAACACATAAGACAACAAGCTAAAAGTCCCAGCAAACATGCTGATGCCTTGGTAGCAGTCGTGGTCTGTGTGCTTGTTCCCTTCTTCTCCCCTGTTCTTTTTCTTCTCTTTTACCCTTTACACACATATTGGAAATGCTGCAGGCAGACAGTATCGAATGAGACACTTGCAAGCATGAAGCCCACTAATAACATTGTGAACTGGAAACAGGGATACTGTCTAGCGTGAGCTGCTGCCAGAGGGCAAGGAAATTAAAGTCTTATCAGCCTCGATATCTGGTGCTGGGAAATTACAAAAATAAAACATTTCTGCTATATAGGGAGGGTTAGATTAGGCACAGGTGAAATCTGGAATTTGTTTAATACTTTGGAGATCCTATTTTGAAGATCCTATTCTGACACCTTCGACAGTCCGGGCGACGTTTTGTTATGTTCCAGGACGTGACACAACGATGTACCATGGCTTTTTGCAAGAGTCCCGACGTGGCAGCAAGGCTGCTTGAAATACTTCTCACATGCAAAACGGCACAAAATCTACTGCCCCACCAACCTAATTAAATAAAGAAGTCCATTTAGACATCTACAAGTAGCAGCAGCAGCAGCAGCAGCAGCAGCAGCAGCAGCAGCAATGGTTTCTCTACTTATTTTCTTATTTGCTGGTTTCACTGAAATTGATCATAAGAACATAAAGGGAAACGGGTTGGATTAGATCAAAGGCCATATGGTCCAGGATTCTCCACCCAGATGCCTATGAAATGCCCACAAGCCAGGCCTGAGCGCAATAGCACTCTCCCTGCTATCCCAGGAACCTGTTTTCAGAGGGATACTGCCTCTGACAGTGGAGACAGAACATAACCATCATGACTAGTAACCATTGATAGTCTTACCCTCTATGAATTTGTCTAATTCTCCTTTGCAGTCATCCAGGTTGATGGCCATCACTGCTTCTTGTGGCAGCAAATTCCTGAATGCCAACGTTTTGTCCTGAATCTTCTAGTGTTTAGCCACATTAGAGGGCCCCAGGTTCTAGGACTGTATCACGAGGGAGGGGAATACATTTTCTCTATTCACTTTCATTGAACTTCTCAAGGTGGGAGGCCTCTGGCAGGATGGAAGGACCTTTTCCTCACCAGGGGATATGCTTGGGAATGACCCAGCACCCAGCTTGCTGGATATGGAACTCCTTGTTTGTCATTATGCCTGGGCAAACTTGGTGAAGGACATTGCTAGGAAGTTAATACTACTTTGGCGAATGGCTTTCCCCATAACAAAAAACCAGATGTGAAATCCTAATCAGGGAGAGAACATAACAATTTAAGAAGGTTCTTGTACAAATACCTGCTGGAAATGTATGTAAAGAAAAAGAATATACCTTTACCATATGTGGTGGTCATGTAAGGTAATAAAGGCTTTCTGGGAAAGGATATATAATGAGCTAAAAAAAATGTTTAAAATAACTTTTGTTAAAAAACCTGAAGCCTTTTTATTTGGAATTGTAAGTACCAAAATTCCAAAAAGAACAGAAAGGGCTTTTTATGTATGCAATAACAGTAGCACGGATGCTGCTAACCCAGAGATGGAAAGAAGAAAGAGTCCCTACCAGAGAGGAATGGCAAACCAAGCTGTTAGACTACGCCAAAATGGCAAAACTGACTGGAAAGCTCAGGGACCAAGAGAACAAAAACTTCAAGAAAGAATGGGAAAAATTTCTAATTTATTTAAGAGACCACTGTAAGCAGATGGAAATGTCGGCAGGATTTTAATCTCACTTGTAATGTAACAAATACTATGGGCAATAAGGATAGATATAAAAAATAGATTATGAAATAATATGCAGTTCAAAATGTTGACAATAGGACCCATGGAGGGGATGGGGGAAAGTCTTGAGATTCTCTTGCGATTCAGAGAAATCTCTTTACATGGATATGTGTTTGGTATTTGTGGTGATCACACAGGGTCCCTGGACGTTTAACGGTCTATTGATCCCTGTGCCACCACTCGGCTCGCTTCCCCGCTGCCACCAACTCGTTACTCTCTGGTAAAACACTGAGTCCAGACAGTTGTTAAAAGTGAACCAAAAACAAAAACAAAAAAACCAAGTTTATTTTACAAACATTAACAAGTTTATGGTATCTCAGATAATATTCCTGTCAGTATCTTAACTTTAGTTTCTTTACCGGCCTATACCTTCCTAATACCTTCTGACTGATTATCTCAACTGTTTGACTGACTCCTCTTAACAGAGTCTCTCCCTCTCCCACATCAGACTAGCCCAGCCCACAGACTTATCTTCTCTGTCTCTTCTAATTCCAGACGGTCTTCTCAACCACCCTAACTCTACTCCTCCCAAAAAACCTCTGTGCTTAAACCTTATACACAGTTAACTCTGCCCCTTGGGTTCCCATGGGTTAGTCATATTACAATTAGTTAACCCTTTCCTTATGAACCCAGTATGATGTCACACACCTAGGAGGGCAAACGCCACAGTATTGTTATAACTTTATATTTGTAAAATCAAATAAAAACGATTTTTAAAAAAAATCAGAGAAGGTTCCACCAGCTCAAGTAGGAATGGGGAAGCTAAATGGAAGTTCCAGCTTCAAAGGCCTACTGGATACCTGCTCTGCTTGTGAGGCTTCTTGGAAGTCTCTGAATGGGACCATCCCTACCATTAGACAAACTGAGGCAATCACATCAGGCAGCAATGAAAGGCCTCCCCCATTCACCCTAAGCATCCTTGGCCATTGCCTTCTGTTAGATAGCAGAGCTGTTTGTGCCACACAGCCTGTCATGCACCTCCCAAGCTGAGCCCACTCAGCTTATGTGGATAATCTTATTCCACTGACAGAATGGAAGCAAAATTCAGCTGCTTGAAGGATGCTTCTTGGTAGAGAAAAGCAAAATTAGCAAAGCAGTAATAAATATTTATTTACACATTCATAATCTGAAATTTGCACTGTATTTTTCAGAAACAAGACAGCTGTTATGCATGAGTTTCAGCCATAGATGCTTGTACCATACTTGGTGCTACACAGCATAATGTAGAAACTTCATGGAAAACTTTTTTTTAAACGGCAAAGTATACTTTAGTTTCCTTGAAATCAGCAGTGCATATTTTCCTCTCACTCACTCCCCGCTCCCCCCTGTCAGGAATCACTTTGAATAGGAAGCAATTCATTCTACAGAGGGTTTGGGCTGAAAGGATATTAAGTTACTGCTCTTTACAAATAAATACTCAAAAACTCAACAAGGTTTGGTCAGACACCAGCCACTGAAGAGAATGTGTGCTTGGTGAATGGAAATATCTATGAATAAGATGGATTCATAAACAGGGCCAGAGAATGGGACTTTAAAAACCACAGGACTAGACATGACGAAGGAAGGAAGTTGGTTTCTCTGGAACCGAGAACATACGTTGTGATTCAGTGGAGCAAGTAATTTTTTTGGTTTTCTGGCTTTCCTGTGAAGGAGATGTGGATGGAGTTCCTTGAAATATGCAATTATTTTAGTTCGCTATATAGCCATTGCCTGCCGACATTCGAGGCTGCTTTACAAAAGGTCTTTTTAATATGGCCACAGTGCTTCGAGCACCAGAACCTGCAATAATAAAGATGTACTTGGGTGACAACAGCATGTACAAAAAATGTACCGCCTCATTACAGATTTCAGGCAGACCTGTGCACCAGATAGGCTTCTTCTACAAGGTACCTTGTTGGCAATCTGGGTCTCTTAGAGCATCGTCACCTACTTAGTGGTGGCAAAAAAGCACTTTCTTTTTCAGACTTTGAAAAGCAAGTAGGGCTGAACTGTGAAAGCAAGCCTAACAGCCTAACATAGAATGACATATGTGTAGTGCAATGGACCTTTGCAGCTAAAGCATCAGCATAGGACCAAGCTTAGTGAATCTTATTTTCCTCCTCAAAGAGAATGCAAGTTTCTAGAGGAACAGCCATGTGTAGCTCAGTGGTAGAGTAGAGGGACAGCAGGTCCCGGGGCTCCTTGAAATTAAGTCTGGGATCTCTGCTTGGTTCCATGACCAACTTTTCAAGAGCACGGACGGACAGACATTAAGGAATCTAGAAATTTTGCCTCTTTATCATGACATGAACACATATGTAGTCAGTCGTCAACCATTACTGCAACATGTCCTCTTCTGGATGCTTCCCTGATCTCTTTCTCCATCGAAGATATCCCTGAGCATTTGCATTAGGGGGATGAATGCATGTCTCCAGCACCAAATGACCTCTGGAGCCAGGTAGCACCACCCACAATGATTCTGTGGAGGAATCTTCCTCTTTTGGGATTTCTGGCTCATTTCATTCAGTGCGCTCTTTCACATACAGAGCAACACCAATACGGCCTTTCCTATTGAAAGCGGGGTGCACATTTTGATGTTGTCGAAATGTTCATGAAAAACTGAGTACTTTTCACTCTGCTAAATTTTATATATACCTGTCCTGATAATGAAAATAGATTTTTGCATGCCTTCCAACATATTCACAAGGCAGTTTTCTGAACACCACATTGGGCTGTGGGGCATATCCTTGTTTGTGCTAGTTATTAGCCTGGTCAGACCCAGTTCAAAAGCTGAAAGGTACCCAGTCTAAAAATTAATACCCAGTATGGGAACACATGTTACTCTTACACAACCACTTCAGTACTTTACCAAGTTAATAACTGCTGACTTAAGCAATCCTACTAGCTGTTGACATGGTCTGTGAATTAGTTAAAGGATCATGATTCATGACTATGAGGTAGACTGGGAGGGAAAATAGCTCAGGCTATGAAGGTGCTGGACCTGGGGCCCGATGCTGAATGCAGAAGACAGCAATCCACCAAACCTTGACGTCTTAGAGATAGCAACCCCCAAGTTGAGTCCTCTGAAGCACTAGCATCCTTACCACCAAGGCTCTCATGCTCCGCAGCATACACTTGACAAAACAGGCAACCCATCTGGTGGGAAGTATTAGGGAGACAATGGATTGCTTAGCTCCAGGCAAGAGGAGTGTGTCTTTAAGGCTGTGCACTCCTACGGAAGGGGCAGTGAGGCCCATGGCTCAGTTTGATGTAGGAATCAGTCAGAACAAATTGTCTACTCCTTGAGATCTGTCCAGGGTACTGAAGCACCTGTCTCTGACCACCCTTGGTCTCCAGATCATGCTTCTTGATAGTGAACTGTATGCATGATGCAGCCACTGCCTGCATTGTGACTGCTGTTACCATTAATTTGATAGCTCACTGGATCTTCTACCTTCCAATCCTTCTGTTGGTTCAGGTAGGGAAAGAACAATTGGGTTCATGCTGATGGCTTGTGTAGAGCCTAAACACGTATAATCTAGAAATGCAAAGGCTCTGTTCAGGTTTTCAACTGAACTTGTTGGGGTTGAGACAGGGCCAGCAGGTGTAATCCCAGTTCTCCTTTCCATATATCCACAGTATTCATATATCATAAAACTAGGTCTATCATTAAATTGGAGAGAGAGAGAGAGAGAGAGAGAGAGAGAGAGAGAGAGAGATTTACAGGTACTATATAAATGATACCTTGTAAATGGCAATTTTCTGTCTACAGGGACTATGACATAGTGTGTGTTGGAGTTCTACTGCCTGTTCAGATGCTGCTATTGAGGAAGCTTCTTCTTCTGAATAGTGACAACTGCAATAATGGTTGTTTCAGGAGATTAAAAAAAAATCCTATGGACATTTTCGGGCTAAAGAAAAGAAGTGCATAAAAGCCTAGAGGGGGAGCTATTGGAGTCCTGTATGCAACCATCAAACAAGAATCAAGCACATAGAATAGCCAGCCTGGTTTGCGGCAGAGAATTCTTTATAAACAAAGCAGTGTTTTAGACCTCTGTTTTATTGAAATCTGGATCTTAGGAAACTTACTGAGTGGAAGGGAGATGGAAAAGTGGGACTTTTCTAAGTTTTAACTGCACATTCAGTGTGGAATATTTAAAAGCAGAATGGAAGCAGGGACAATCCACTGTCACATAGACACCTCACAACTGCACACTTACACACACTCTGCAACCATATGCATGCACACAAACACGGATGTGCATGCAAACTCCACAACCACAATTGGGCACACCCTGCAGTCACAATCACAAGACCCTCCAGCTGCAGCTACAACCACATACAACCTGAAAATGCCTGTGTGCATGCCTACGCAGAGCTGCAACTACATACTGTGACTAACTTTTTTCACCCTTCAAAAATGAGGTGCCATGCAGTTACCAGTTTAAAATAAACACTGTTAGAAACAAACCCAAACTTTGTTCAAGTTCATGTTTTGGTAACCGTCACAACAGGCTGCAGGGCAGAAGAAAGTCTGGAGTTTGAATGGAAGGGCATATATAATTGAGAGCTGCCAATTATAATCAAAAATTAATACTTACCACAAAATGAGGGCAATTCAATGATTTCAAAATAACCTTGATAGTTTAATATCAGAGTTAAATCCATCTCAGGTTGGCTCAAGCTCCAGAAATTGGAAGCAAAGGTTGATGTCTTAAAATATGTATCTCATGATCAGCAATGATGTTGTGCAATGTCATAATGGTAAAAAGATAAAGTAAAAAAGGTAAAGGACCCCTGGATGATTAAGTCCAGTTAAAGATGACTATGGGGTTGCAGCGCTCATCTTGCTTTCAGGTCGAGGGAGCTGGCGTTTGTCCACAGACAGCTTTTTGGGTCATGTGACCAGCATGGCTAAACTGCTTCTGGAGCAATGGAACACCATGACTACTTAGGTAAAAAGAGGTAAAGGTAAAGGACCCCTGAATGGTTAAGTCCAGTCAAAGGAAACTATGAGGTATGGCACTCATCTCACTTTGCAGGCCAAGGGAGCTTTCCAGGTCATGTGGCCAGCATGACTAAACTGCTACTGGTGCAATGGGAGACCGTGATGAGTGCCAGAGCACACAGAAATGCCGTTTACCTTCCTGCCACAGCAGTACCTGTTTATCTACTTGCGCTGGTATGCTTTCAAACTGCTAGGTTGGCAGAAGCTGAAACAGAACAACGGGAGCTCACTCCATTGCGGGGATTCGAACCGCCAACCTTCCGATCAGCAAGCCCAAGAGGCTCAGTGGTTTAGACCACAGTGCCATCCATGTCCCTTAACTGTCCCATAACTGTATTTGCTTACAACTAACCCTCCATGCCCCCACACTTTCCCTTGCTCTTTCAAGGCCAAATCCAGATGGGAAGGATTGTCTGCCCAGGACCAGTAAAGGCAACCCACCTTGTCCTGGTCCTGTATTGCCTTATGATGCATCTAAACCTTGTATTGCTAGAGGCATTGCCTCTGTGAGTTGACCAATACCTGTTTGTTGCTTAGGTGCTGCCTGGAGGAGTTAAATATCTGGAGGTGAAGGCCTCCTCTGACGAAGATAAGAGCAGAATGGTGCTGCTGCTAATGATTGGACAATATCATTTTTATGCCACACAATGTCACCACACACCATGTATTCCAGTTAGCTCAACACAATGAGTTTCAGAGTAACTGCCAAGCAATTTCAAAGCGCCATGCAGGTTCAGACATGATGCTTCCACAGTCTAGTTAAATTTAGCACATTACAATTGTCTGCCCTGATAAATATGGTATGCTGCTAATATCTTCCACGAACCTTTGTTAACTTCTTAAAATATATCTGAAACTCAGTGTAGATCATGATCACAAGCAGATCTGAAGGACTTGCTGAGAAAGATAAAATGTTTATGTGTTTGTTTGATTTATTGTGACATACAAAAAAAGATTTCAGTCACACGGATACAACATTTCAATAATAACACGCTAAAAGTGGTGATTAATTAATAATAATAATAATAATAATAATAATAATAATAATAAATGAACATAAATGCCCTTTCCTCCACATAACACAATGATAAGTCACCAATCATCCCATCTAGAGTTGCCACAAGAACCGAACACCTAAACGTGCAGATTAAGAGAAAGTAAAGGCCACAGGTAGTTGGGATCCATAATACTAGATCCAAAAAGTCTTATGTAAACAGATGTAGAAACTCAAAGAGAAGTAGATGCAGGAGAATGGGGTCGGTGTGGTGATGGATTGGTGATGGAGACAGAGTTTGTCACCTTAGATCAGCTTTGAATATAGAAGGTCCCACGTTCAATCTTTGGCTTCTCCAGGTGGGACTGGGAAAAACTCTTGCCTGAAAGTTTGTTGACAGTATTGAACCGGATGAAGCAATGATTTGATTCAATGATTTGAGGGCAGCTTCATCTGTTCCTACCAATGCTGAACCCTTATTCAGGCCAGTTGTTCTGGGAACTCTTCAGATGCCAGAGAAGTAACCCTTTCTCTGACCGAAAGCTTCCATCTTCTGCCCAAAGACCTTCATCAGATGTTCCACTCCTTGGCTCCAGCTGGACACCTTCCCTCAAATATCTCTCTATTGCACCAGGCTTTTCTCCATGCTCCTGCTGCTGGTATCAAGAAGAAAGCCTTCCCTGTGAGACCTTCTCCTTTCCAGCTCCTTATTGGGCTCAGTTTAAGGCCCCATTAGCTGACTTGGGTCCTAGGTAGGAGTCTGAGAAGTGCTCGTGCATGAGGAACATGGAACAAATGGTGTGGAAAGAAGGCAGATCACTCACCTTATCATGAGAGTATGACTGAATTTATGGAGCTGTGTGTGGTTCAGATTAAAACAAATCCATGATAAATTACACAACTTTGCTCCCATCTCTACGAGAGATAGCAGTTGCCTAGCATTTTGTTTTGTTGTTAGTATATTATTGTGCAGCCTGTAATATGATTAATGGAAAAGAGACACAGCAACATTTCAAAGAGGAGAGAAAGTTCTCAAAGTGTGCTCCTTATCATAACCATTAAATGTTTCAGCACGTACAGAGGAAAGCAGTGCAAATGATGCTTGTGCACATATGATGAACTGTGTCCAGTGCCCACTGGTGGAACAGCAAAACAGAATTTCTGCAAATGATGCCTTCATTTCCTTGCCCTTTATTCCATGGCTACTTTACACTGCTGGTTCCATTTAATTTACAGCCCGTCCACCCCACACCCTTCAGATCGCACATAGTTTAGGGTTCAACCTTACGTTTAAGCACTGTACCTGTGAATGAGATGGCGACTTGATTCTACTCAAAAGTAATGGGGCACAATGGTGGAAGCATATCCTACTCATGCATACCCTGATTGTATCTTGGGGCTGATTCAACCAAGTGGCTACCATGCAACCTGCTGCCCAGGGGAGCCCTGGAAGATGGAGCATGGGCAATCCTGCCCTGTCATTGCTATCGCCAGTGGTGATCTGAACTTGTCCTTAAAAATAGTGGCTAAGCATAGGGATTAGGGACAACACATGGAAGAACCAACATGTGCAGGCTGATTGATCCCCGGGGTTCCTCCCTCCATATTGCAAATGGTGTATGTGCAGCGGCTTGGATAAAGCCCTGACCGCTAAGTCCAGTAGCGGACAACTCTGGGGTTGTGGCGCTCATCTCGCTTTACTGGCCGAGGGAGCTAGTGTTTGTCCACAGACAGCTTCCGGGTCATGTGGCCAGCATGACTAAACCGCTTCTAGCGAACCAGAGCAGCGTATGGAAATGCCGTTTACCTTCCCGCCGGAGTGGTACCTATTTATCTACTTGCACTTTGATGTGCTTTCGAACTGCTGGGTGGGCAGGAGCTGGGACTGAGCAACGGGAGCTCACCCCGTCACGGGGATTCGAACCACAACCTTCTGATCGGCAAGCCCTAGGCTCTGTGGTTTAGACCACAGCGCCACCTGCATCCCTGCAGCGGCTTGGATATCATATCTATAGATCCAGGATCTTCAGAATGTGATTTGAGCACCTGTGTTTAAGAAAAAGTACCCAGAGATAAGGCATAGTTTCCTCCAATATAAAACTTTTCTGTGCATCAATATATGGTAGCAAGTAATCCTTTATCTTATATTAGAAGCTGAGAGATAGCACAGAAGGAAAGGCTTTTCTTCTAGAGGCTGTTCCCATAACTATAGAGCAAGCCCACCATGTTTTGGCTAAGCACATATCTAGGCCTGGTGGGTAAGGTGTCTATAAACGAACGACAAACTCATTCTCTGAGTACGCACACCACCCATATACAAGAGGGAGTTAAGAGGTAAGAGGAGAATGCCATCATTTGCAGAACAAAAATATTTAAGGGAAAAACCTTAAGGTGGGGGACTTCCCCCCTGCCAAAATAACCCAGCTCATTGAGGATCAGGAATGCTCAGCATGTATGGAATGTTGATTGACTGGAGGGGAGGTTCGGGGGCGGGGGAGAGGGTGGAGGGAAAGGGGAAGGAATGGAGTATCCAGAAAAGGGCATGGCTGGCTGGCCAGAATGCGGAATAGGAGCACTCCACATTGCAACATTCTGGGGCGGGTCCCATGTGTTTCTATAAATAGTTGTCCTTATCAGTTGCCTCTAGAGAGATCAAATGGGAATGGGTGACTGGTTAGCTAATGCTACACTATTTGAAGTAGGGTGAGTGGCAAGGTCATTCATTGCTCCTCTGGAAGATGCTATAGCCACTTTTCATAGCATGCCAGCCCCCACTAGCTAGGCTGTGTGACATCTGGTCCAGATCTGCCCCCTATGGCTGCCTCATTCCTAGGACTGCTTCCTAGACTGCTTCTTCTTGCATTCCTATTCCGCCATCCAGTTTTTGTCGGTGGGAAATGTCTCGTGAGTCTTTTATGTGCAGTCTTGCTTTAAGGCATAGAACCCAACACCCAATGGACCAACCACATATGACGCTCCAGGATAAAAAGCCATCAGCAGGCCAGAGCTTTATCAGCACTGCTACAGGACAGTCAGAATTTCACTGAAGGAGAAGATACTAACCAGTGTGTGGTTGAATAACCTGACATGAAAAAGCCAACGGTTTTATGCAGTTTTGGAAAAAGCAGCACGTCTGTAATGACTTTGACCGCTCTCTTATTAAGAATACAACTGAGAATACAGATCGTTATCTAAATGCAAGCCCACAGGGGCACACCAAATATAAACCATTTGCAAGGCTGGATAATTGTTCACAGCAAACACAGGAGACATTTTGCAGCCAGCAGTAGCTCAGCTCTATATATTCAAGCATATTAACCCTTTTGCCTGTCTTGGGTCATAGTGAGAAAAAAGGCCACTCAGCCAGTTATAAACAGATCCCTGCAGGCTGCCATGTGCTCAGGGCAATTATTCATAGGCATACAGTTTCAAGCAAGTATGTGTGTGTGTTGGGTATGGAGGAGATAGAGTATTATGTCAGAAATGACATAATAAGATCAAGTTTCTCATCGATTTTGAGCAAGTTGCTTCAGTTCTCTGTGCTTCCATTTTCTATCTGCTTAAGGGAAATAGCACATCTATAGGTAAATAAAGGCCTACATGTGTATTTGTAGCTCTGGGGTCGCATTGCACAACATATATAGTCTCCAGCCAATCCTGGACCTTTAATTATGTAAGCAATGTTTAAGTGTGAACTGTGGAACCACTGTGGTACTGTAAGAGATGTGAAATACGCATCCTTTCGGTTTTCAGGGTTTGGGAACCTTTAGGCTAACCTTTCCCAAGTTTCAGAAACATAAACGTACTACCTGATTTCTTCTGAAGCTCCCGCCCTCTGCTGCTGTGTTGCAGTGGACCAAAAGTTCTGCACAGATCTGGGCTGAAATTTCTTCTCAACTTCCAAGCTTTTTGAGTAGTCTTAAGCAACTCCCAACTCATCCTAATAACCAAATGGGCAACTGAAATGAGCAGTTGCTGGGACTGAAAGGTGGTGTGTGTGTGTGTGTGTGTGTGTGAGAGAGAGAGAGAGAGAGACAGACAGACAGACAGACAGACAGACAGCTGTTGAACTCAGGTCCAGCTTGCTGGCTTTCCATATAGGAATCTAGTTGATGGCTGTGAGAGTGGGCTGTCAGTCTAGATGGGTCTTTGGGGTGATCCAGCTGGGCTCCCCACCCCAAAGTTCTAAATTGCATCAAATTGTAATTGCTGTGTTCCATTTCCTCATTGCCCAGGTCTAAGCAGGGTCAAGGTTGCACTATGTGGACTCACTTTCCAGATATACAGTGCAGATGGAACTCCATGGAGTGCAGAGACCTCAATAGTGACACTCCTGTGATGTGCAGCTTCTCTCTTCACTCTGAGAACTAACGGCTGGTGTCATCTCACTGTAAGTGGCAGGGCCTACTACCAGTTCCTGAGCAAAAGGAAAGGAATCACTGGTTCCCAAGCTCAGAGTCTGGTTATAGAGTTCTCCCTCTCCCCATTTTGGAGCACCTGTAATGATAGTCTTGTACAGGAAACTGGACCAAGTGTGTATGCAAACATGCTGTGAGACAAGGAACACATTCAAACCATAGAAATAAAGCACCACGAAACACTATAAACAGTCTTGGCTTCCCTGAAAATTTATGGAGGCTGTAGTTTGTTAAGGGTGCTGAGAGCTGTCATTGGACCTTAATCCTGCCCACAAACTACAATTCCCAGAGTTCCCCGCGAGAGGGACTGATTGTTAAACCACCCTGGGAACTGCAGCTCTTGGGGTTTCCTAGCAATTCTCAGCACCCTTAACATTGCTTTTGTTTGTTAGTATGGTGTGCACTGTAAGCCACCCTGTGTTCCTTGGATGAAGGGCAGTATAGACATTTAATAAAACAACAGCAGCAGCAACAACAAACTACAGCTCCCAGAATTCTTTGGGGGAAGCTATGACTGCTTATTTTTAAATTATGGTGCTGGAGGAGACTCTTGAGAATCCCATGGACTGCAAGAAGATCAAACCTCTCCATTCTTAAGGAAATCAGCCCTGGGTGCTCACTGGAAGGACAGATCCTGAAGCTGAGGCTCCAATACTTTGGTCACCTCATGAGAAGAGAAGACTCCCTGGAAAAGACCCTGATGTTGGGAAAGATTGAGGGCACAAGGAGAAGGGGACGACAGAGGACAAGATGGTTGGACGGTGTTCTTGAGGCTACCAGCATGAGTTTGACCAAACTGCGGGAGGCAGTGGAAGACAGGAGTGCCTAGCGTGCTCTGGTCCATGGGGTCACGAAGAGTCGTACACGACTAAACCACTAAATAACAACAATGACTGCTTATGGTGCTACCATAGCACTTTAAACATACAGTGTGATTGTAGCCATCATGATTAACCATGTGGAAGGCACTGAAGGAGAGGCAAGGCTCCTTCCAGCCACTTTGGAAAGGAGACCAGTGTTCAGTCTCAGGCAGTTCCACTGCTCTTTACAAACCTCAGCCAACTCAGCTCTCAGGGACTTCCGAGGCTGAGCTAGCCTCTCTCCTTCCCTTCCATTCAGCACAGGAATTGTTATTCATTTCCCACACAATGACAGGTTTAGTCAGTTTATTGTGTGGCAGAGAATGACTCGGGTACTCAGGCATGGGAATAAAGTTCACTGGGAACTTTCAATTTCCTTAACGCCGTCGCATTGCAATAATCCCAGAGGTGAGGGTTCCGGAGCTGATGCCATTTCTTCGCTGGGCAGAAGAGGGTGCGGGAAAGGATTGTATGGTGATATGATGTAATCCTTTGGCTCGGCTCGGCAGGGCCATGGCTGAGCTGTTATCTGTTAACAACCCTGGGAGTCAAGATCAAGGAAGCTCCTGAAAAAATGCCAGAGCTGCTTTTGCCTTTGATGTGGACCCCGTTACTTTGCCTCCACCCACCCTCAGTCTTCTGTTTTTTGTTTTTTTTAAAAATAATTTTTATTAAGGTTTCAATCAAAAATTGAACAACAAAGAAAAGCAACATAAAGAAAAGATACACAAATACACAATGCAAATCCCAGAAAAAAAATAAAAAACCACAAAAAGCAAGAATCAACAATAAGAAAAAACATAGCAATTAAAAACAATATCTCTTTTCCAGTTCCGTTTTTGAATTTACTTATTTTCTGGACTTCCTCATACCTCCCTCTTTTGTATTCCAATCTAAATTGTTTGTCCAGCAATTTCTTTTCCACTTTTTTAATCCTAATCTTTAATTTTAATATAATATAATATATAACTTAAACTTCTTTAAACCTAATCTTTGATCTTAATGTAATATAACATTGAAATTTTACCTCTTAATTACCAAATTTCCATTTCCTTAAACCCCACCCTCAGTCTTCTGAATTGTACAGAGGGCAACTTTTCTTACGAACATATCAGGCCCTCCAAGTGTCCCTATTTTCCAGGTACAGTCCCAGATTTACAGAAGCTACCCCAGTTTCTGATTTGATCCCAGAATGTCCCACTTTTCCTTGGGATGTCCCTGTTTTCATCGGAGAAATGTTGGTGCCATTGGAAAGCAGCCCCACATAGGGATTTTTTTTTTTTTAGTGTTTAGTGTTTCGTTGTGTTTTTATATATGTTGGAAGCCACCCAGAGTGGATGGGAGGGATGATGATGCTTATTATGATGATAGAACAGGATGTCCTGGTTTTCATCAGAGAAATGTTGGAGTGTATGCTGCATTGTTGTTGTTGTTGTTGTTTAGTCGTTTAGTCGTGTCCGACTCTTCGTGACCCCATGGACCAGAGCACACCAGGCACTCCTGTCTTCCACTGCCTCCCACAGCTTGGTCCAACTCATGCTGGTAGCCTCGAGAACACTGTCCAACCATCTTGTCCTCTGTCGCCCCCTTCTCCTTGTGCCCTCCATCTTTCCCAACATCAGGGTCTTTTCCAGGGAGTCTTCTCTTCCCACGAGGTGGCCAAAGTATTGGAGCCTCAGCTTCAGTATCTGTCCTTCCAGTGAGCACTCAGGACTGATTTCCTTAAGAATGGAGAGGTTTGATCCTCTTGCAGTCCATGGGACTCTCAAGAGTCTCCTCCAGCACCATAATTCAAAAGCATCAATTCTTCGGCGATCAGCCTTCTTTATGGTCCAGTATGCTGCATTATTCCAAGTCAAAGCCATGGTCCATGGCTCTCTGGTGTTTCAGGCAGGAGTCTTCTCTAGCTGTACTTGGAGTTGTGAGGACTGAGCTTGGGATCTTTGGCATGGAAAACAGTTGCCCCACCACTGAGCTATGGCCCCTTCCGTAAGTAATTCAGGTGCATTAAAATTTTTGCCACAGGTTGATCAGGGCCTTAAAAAAATAAAACAAGACATCTTGTGGTGGCTAACAATATATAAATGCAACCATTGAACATCAGTAGAACAACAATTAAAAAACCAAAACACACCATTTCATTTATTGAACTGCTTAGTAAATTTATTAGATATCACACGCCGGGCATCACAGATAGGAAAGAAAAGCTACACTGAAAGAAAGTAAACAACATATCAAGCAGCAAGACAACCTTAAAATAAAAAGTGAAGTCCTGTTTTTTAAAGCTCAGCAATCAGCAAAACTCATTTTGTGCAGCAGCACAAACAGAATTAAAATATAACCGGGCAACACCCACACTCCAAATATGCCCCAAGTTTTCATCACTCACTCTCAGCCTAACCTACTTCACAGGGTTCCTGTGAGGATAAAATGGCGGAGAAAGAGAAGTATGTATGCCACCTCACATCTTGGACGAGAGGTTGGCATACATACTTCTCTTTCTCCGCCATTTAATCTTCACAGGAACCCTGTGAGGTAGGTTAGGCTGAGAGTGAGTGATAACAACTCCAATAGTAACCAACCAAACAAATAATATTAGCATCACTGTGTATCCGAGAGCCCCATGTATCTACATTCCAGCTTCTACCCAGAATGCACCATAAACTTTCTGGCCCATAGTCTAGCTGATATGGTTGAAGCTGTTCTACCCTGTGCCAGGCAGATACAGTGGTACCTCGGGTTACAGGCGCTTCAGGTTACAGACGCTTCAGGGTACAGACTCCGCTAACCCAGAAATAGTACCTTGGGTACTATTACCTCAGGTTGAGAACAGAAATCGTGCTCTGGCGGTGCGGCGGCAGTAGGAGGCCCCATTAGCTAAAGTGGTACCTCAGGTTAAGAACAGTTTCAGGTTAAGAACAGACCTCCGGAACAAATCAAGTTCTTAACCAGAGGTACCACTGTACTTACAACCTCAAGATTTGCACCAGTCATTTCCTTTTTCTCCAGTCTCTACAACGTTCATTTCAGCCAGGTTATCAGGCTGCAACTGAGGCATTGGTTGTACCCTCAGCCAGAAGTGGAACAGAGCTGGGAGTGAAAACACAAGAACGGATACAACAATTGGTAAATCACAATTTTCTTAAATTACAGCTTCCAGATGAATATTGTCATAGCGTGGGCAAGAGGCCAAACACCACAGCAGTCTTTTTGCTGCCAGTTGTATTCTATGGCTTGCCAAATGGCTGGGAATTGTATTTGTGTGTTGGAGGCAGAGGCAAGTTAACTTGAGGCAGTCGCTGGCTTCTGTCGCTCTTGCTGTCTGCTGTGACCAGCCTGGGTGTGTGGCAGGTACTAAGGACCCTGAGGTGAGCCATTACCCCAAAGGCCACACAAGCTCCTTCTCCCAAGGCAAGGGCATAGCATCATGGAACTGTAGAGTTGGAAGGGACCCAGGGGCATCTAGTAATGTCCTGTAATGCAGGAATCTTTTGCCCAAGTGGGGCCTACAGTCACAGAGATGATAACACATGAGAGTATCATAGCCAAGTGAAAGACTGCTGAGGTAGCACCTAATGACCACATACCCTCCAACATCTCTTCTGTAAAAATAGGAATGTCCTATTCCATCATCATCATCATTTTATTATTTATACCCCACCCATCTGACTGGGTTGCCCCAGCCACTCTGGGCAGATTCCAAATGTATATAAAAACTTTTGTTGTTGTTTAGTCGTTTAGTCGTGTCCGACTCTTCGTGACCCCATGGACCAGAGCACACCAGGCACTCCTGTCTTCCACTGCCTCCTGCAGTTTGGTCAAACTCATGCTGGTAGCTTCGAGAACACTATCCAACCATCTCGTCCTCTGTCGTCCCCTTCTCCTTGTACCCTCCATCTTTCCCAACATCAGGGTCTTTTCCAGGGAGTCTTCTCTTCTCATGAGGTGGCCAAAGTATTGGAGTCTCAGCTTCAGGATCTGTCCCTCCAGTGAGCATTCAGGGCTGATTTCCTTAAGAATGGATAGGTTTGATCTTCTTTAAACATTTTAAAACTTCCCTATATAGGGCTGCCTTCTAAAGATTGCATAGTTACTTATCTCCTTGGCTTGCGGGGGGTCGCATAACTCCTTACCCTCCAACATTTCTCTGATGAAAATGAGGAAATCCTAAGGAAAAGTGGGACATTCCGGGATCAAATCAGAAACTGGAACGGCTTCAGTCGGTCCCTGGAAAATAGGGACACTTGTAGGGTCTGTAGACCAGTCAGAAACATGGGGGAAATTCTTGTACTCTTTATCAGCTGGAACTAGTGAGCACTCAGAGCAAAGCAAACAAGCAGTAGAAAGAAAATGATCATTGGTGAATGTGGAAACAATGCAAGTAAAAAAGTCTGGGATTGGGGATTGCATTTATGGCTTGATATAGGCTAGAGGGATTCAATTCCCCCTCTGATCTGCCCTGAGGACCTTCTGGTTAAGGCAAGGTAAGAAACTCAATTAATAATTAGAATAATAAAAGTAATAGGCAGTTGATTGTCTGCAGGCAGGGCCCAGGTTACTGCGACATGAGAATATTGCCAGTACAGCCAGTCTGCAACTAGTCCTCCACTTCCAGCTTCTACTCAACTCTGTTTTGGAAACTGAGGATTCCTTTGCAACCATTCATGAGATTTATATATCTATAGAAAGGTAAGAAGAGCTGTGCATTTAGGAAATGACTGGCAGAATCCGAGACCAGGGAGAAGAGTCGGTGGAAGAAGACTGGAAAAAGTTTAAAGACTATTTACAGAAATACTGTAAAATTAATGAATGTTAGAAAAATGTTGGAATGAAGTTATATGGCTTTAGTAGAAAAGTTATAAGGAATTAAGTGTAAATAGATTAATAGAGTATTAAAGGAAAAAATAAGGTTAGAATGAGTTAAGATAATTATAGGATAGAAAACAGAGGAAGATGGAAAGGAATTGCTGAAATAATTAACAGAAGTGGAATACCAAAAGGGAGGTGTGAGGAGGTTGTGGAAATAAGTGAATGAAAGATGGGATAATGAAATTGTTTGATTTATTTTGTTGTTTTTGTTTCGTTTTGTTAGTTTAATGTATTGTATTGTATTGTATTGTCTTTTTAGTGTTTAAATTTTTGGAAAAGTAATAAATATTATTAAAAAAAAAAGAAGAGCTGTGCATTTAGCAGCTTACTGCTGAGATAACAGGGAGATGGTTGGGAAAACGCTCCCTTCACAATTCTCTGACAGAGGCTGCAGCTGCTTGCTTGGGTCCCGGCTGACAACGTCTGATTTCCTGACAGTGTCAAGTCATCCCTCCTTCAAGCTTATTTAATTAAAAATCAATCAAATGGGGGGGGGGGAGAAACACATTTACACAAACAACATGTCACAACAAGCTGTTTTCCCTTGTTTTGTTTAATAGCAAGTCAGCAGGCTGCCTGTGCTTTGATGTGGGGATGCACATTTGAGTTCAGGATTACTGAGAGACCCTCTAAAGAAAAGCTGCAAGGTTATTTTCCATCCGGAGATGATTCCCACCTGCTTAACTGTTTGGGGCCACACTATTAGGCTTTGGATCTGTCAAGAACTGCCCTCAGGAGAGTCCAGGCACATCTCCAAGACCAAGTTCAAAATGGGTAAGGTAAGGAAAACGCTCACAACACAATCCTATACATCTCTACTCAGGGATAAGTTCCATTCAGTTCATTGAGGCTCAGGGCCAACCCAAAGTATTTTCCAGCATGAGCCAGGGTCGCAAATGGTGCCCCCTCCCCATCAAGTCTTGGTGGTTTGTATCCAGTGCAGGTCAAGTTATTTTGACAGCTGAGGCAGAAAATCACACAAGCGCGTCTCCTTCTTTCTGGCAGTTTGCTGTCTTTTCTTGACATCTAAAATCAGCTTCCTGAGGTGGCCGGCAAGGATTACAGGCTAAGACAGTTAGTGGACTGGACTGCATCTGACATACTCAGTCATACTCAGAGTAGATGCATCAAAATCAATGGGCTTAAATTAGCCATGACTGACACCACAATCCTAGCCATGTCTACTCAGAAAGAAAGCCCTGTCAAATTCAATAGTGTTTTCTTCCAGCGTTAGGTTTGCAGCCTTACTATCTACTATGTATTGGCAGCAAAGGAATCTGGGTGGTATATAGCTGCGTAAATGCAACAAGTCGACAAATGCAGAAAGTGAAAAAGAATTTGCAAGAATTAATGTGGATTCACCCCGCCACACACAGTATGTTTATTTCATTTTAAATTTGCATTCCACCTTTCTACACTGCTGTACTCAAGGTGTTTGGATGGTGCCTGTTTCGATGTCCTACATGCCTTTTTTTGGAAGAAAATAAGAGGAGTAGAACAACACCCTTTGTTGCATACTGACCTAAATGGACCAAAGGTTTGATAAATATCATGCTTTCAATCAGAATTCCAGATGAGAGTCATGGGAAGTCATCTTCTGGCCAGCCCCAAAGATTAAGTCCTAATAAAATGACTTTGAAGTCTCTGTTTCTAAGAAGGATCAAGTGTGATGGCTTTGGGAGGGTTCCATGGCAGCAATCTGCATGAGAAATACTCCCAGGGCTTCCTCATCTCTGTTGTCCATGTAAAGGATATGAGAAGGAAAAAATGCTAAAACAGAAGACATTTTCTGGAATATCTATTCCAAGGGAATGGATCTGATTTTAATAAATGTGATTCACTTTAACACATGGCAGAAGACACACATGCACGAATCATGCCCCTTTTGTAAGTCCAGCCTGCATGTTGCAGCTGCGGCTATCCTATGAAAGAGGTACACAGCTGATGGATAGTTCAGTGCCCAAAGGTCCCAAGGTTCAAAAAATCTCAGTGCTTGCTATTCAACAGACTACTTGCAGCTGCACAGACACTGTGGAGTGAGGGATTTCTGACTGTGACATTTTAAGACACATCAGCGAAAGAAGCAATACAGCTTTGCTTGGGAGGCTGGGATTTGAAGAGAGCTCAGTGTCTGATTCTCAGTGATTTGTCTTCATAAGTAGTCATAAAACATATGTGACGTGACAGAAGGTCCCACTTCTCTGCGTCTGATCTAAAGCCCAAGGTGTTTCTTATCTGTCACAAATGGACTTGCTGAATGAAATGTGAATGCTCACTTGCATGCTTTTCCTCAAAAGGAAGCTGCGCAGTTCATTCTTTTAAACTACCATCAATGAAAGCATTTTGTGGGAAATGTTCCATAAGCTAGGGGGCGGAAACTTGCAAAGGCTGCCACCCAAGTTCAATGTCTGCTTTCAACGTTTCAATCTAGTAGTTTCAGTGCTAGCTAGAATAAAAAGGTCAATACAGAACTCATAATGAACCCCATAAAACTTTTGATGAAATGATGACTCTGGGTCATGTTGATATAATCCCATTCCTTCCTCCTGGTAGAATTTAACAGTCAATGATGACTGAACTAAACATCTTACTTGCTACACTGAGTGATTAATTTTGATTTTTAAATCCTGAAGCTATAAGACAAAAGGAG